ACAGCTCCTTGTGGAATACCTTTTGATGTGATCTTGGGTCCAATAATATTGGGACCTACTCTTATCGATACACTTCTCTCTTTGTATAGGTTTGATAGTAAATGTGCTATCGATTTTGGAATGCCAAGAAACACAAGTTTATCACAGAGTATATTTAAATCAATATTGTCATATGCACTTTTTATGTCAATAAACAATGCACCTGTTGTCATGGAATTAGAAAAACCAATTTGAACATCTGTAGTCAGACGAACTACTGCATCCGTGGTTCCATAGCCTTGTTTATATCCATATTGTGTTGCTGGTAGAATATTATGCCGCCTTAACCAAATTTCCATTCTCAATTTGAGAATTCTTTCAAATGTTTTAAAAATACATGACAATAATGTTATTGGTCTATATGATTCCGGATTATCTTTGTCTTTTCCCGGTTTTAGAATTAATATAACAAAGCAATCGTTAAATTTGTAAGGAGGTATTCCAGTTTGCAAAATACAGTTATAAATATGTAGTAGTAGTCTTTTAGCCAGTACACCCATTTTTTGTAACATAATGTAAGAAATCTGATCTGGACCTGGAGCTGTGTTTTTGGATATCTTGATAGCATATTCCAGTTCAGATGATGTTATTTCTTTTAATAAGTAATGTTCTTCTGGATTTAAAGCCATGTAAGGTATATGTTTGTCAACAAATGGTGGACATAACTTCTGAAGAATATCTTCTGCAACTGCGGAAGGAGCATGTTTGATGTTTGCGTTTTTGTTGTTTAACTTGTTAGCCATCTTCCATATTTGAGTTGATGGGCAACTAGAGTTAAGACTGGAGCAAAATTTAATCCATGTTGTTTTGGCTTTGTGTTTAAACATTTTTTTAGTTGTAGCTTCTATCTTTTTATATTCAAGAAAATTATTCAGTGTAGATGCGGTTTTGTATTTTTTAAGAGCATTCTTCTTAAGCTGTAGCTGTGTATTACATTCATCATCCCACCAAATTGATTTTTGTCTATGTTTAGGACTGAAAGGTACGTTTTGGGGGATAGAAGCTTCACTGCTTGTATTAATTGCTCTATTCAGATTAAATGCCATTTCATTACAGTTTTCAGAGTATACAACATTCTTCAGTTCCATTTCAAGAGTGCTATGAAACAATTCCCAGTTGGCCTTCTGTAATTTCCATTTCCTTGTTGGATACACAACAGAAGAGGGTACATCAATATTCAACTTGATGGAAATAATATAATGATCAGATCCAAGAGTTCTATCCAATGTTTGCCAATGTGCTAGTGTAATTAGTCCAGGAGTTATTAGCGTTAAGTCTACAGCTGATTTTGTAGAGTTTGGAGGGGTAATTCTAGTCGCCGAACCATCATTTAGAAATATTAAATCCATATCAGTTAATGCATCAATTATTCTATTGCCATCAGTATCATTTTTTGGAGAACCCCATACCGCATGATGGGCGTTGAAGTCACCTCCTAGTACCGTCTCTCCTTCGAGTGAGGAACACCAATTAAAAAGCTGTTCCCATTCTCGGGTGCTTATATTCTTGTCAGGTTTATATAATGAGATTATGTTAATTATTCTGCCATTAAAATCAATTTTTACACCACACATTTCCAATGTTCCAACATTTATAATATCCAATATCTTATACTTATTTATCCGTAGGCCTAAAAATATAGCTACACCTCCAAATCTACGATCTTGACGATCTTTTCTAATAATTTGGTATCCCTTATAAACAATGTTGTGTTTTGTCTTATAACATGTTTCAGATAAAATTGCAATATCAATAGCATTCGAATACAGAAATTGTTTAAAAGATTGCGCATTAGATACAGTAGAACGACTATTCCATTGAATTATATTTAAATTATTTGAACTGTTATGATCCATTGGATGTGGATAAATTTTCCAATAGATTTGAAATATGTTTTTTAATTAAATTTTGATCATTGTCTATATAATCTTTGCAATTTAAAACATCAGAGAGAAAGCTGAATATTATATTAGTAATACCTTCAACTATTTTTTCTTTATGTCTCATGAACTCATCCCTGTAAGGATTTGGTAAGATTGACGAACTGGCTGTACTTTTCTCAACTCTTTCATTATCAATATGATCGCTCTCATTCAGTTTTCTTTTTTTAAAAGATTCAGAACTGTTACTTGACGTGGAATTTCTTCTAACAACTCTCGGTTTAGAGATACTGAACACTGAAGGTACATTAACATTTTTGGAAGGTAGCGGAGGAAAACTACTAGAATCATTAGCTAGTAACGAAAATCTATTATTAGTTAATATGTTTGAATAATAATTTGGATTGCTTTGAACTTTTTCAGCTTCCTGAAACGAGATATTTTTTGTTGCCATAATTTCCTTAATTTTACGTTGTTTAATATATTCTGAGCATTCTCTTGATAATGCCGAATGTTTCTGACCACAGTATAAACATTTAGTTTCCACAGAGCAGTCCTTATTATTATGATTTTCACCACAGTTTTTACAACGCTCTTTCCCATTACATTGTTGTGTCATATGTCCATATCTTAAGCATTTCTGACACTGTATAACAGGATATATGTACGGTTCCACTGGAAAAATACAACTATTAATTATGACTTCTTTTGGTAAAGAAGCTCCGATAAATGTTATACATACAAATTGTCTAGGTACTAGTTTCGTTTCATTTGTTTCTGTAGTGACTCTGCGGTTTAGTCGTTTTATTTCTTTAATATTACTATTTGGATTCTCACTTTTAAGTTTTTCCAGTAAATATGTTTCGGTAAACCCTGTATCAATTGAACGTATTAAACCTCGACGTTCCACAAAAAACCGTGGGATATAAGCAATTAAATTGTTGGCTTCTAAAAAGTCACCACTTACAATGTTATTAGCAGAAGAAGCATTATTTAAAATTACCTTAATTTTATTTCTACCAATAGATTTAATTTCAGTAATGTTGTTTTTAAAATTATTCGTATGTAAATAATGTCCAACTCTTATCGGATGTAATTTACCGATATTTTTATCGATAGACTCTACATAAACAATGAATGGGCCAGTGTCACACAACCGGTATCGAATGTTTTTATCATAATGTTTTCTGATAAGATTCGGATCATTATCATTTTTATAATCGTTTGTTATTGGAAACGACTCACCAGATAATGATACAGTTGTTCCACCAGGATCATCAATCTCATTTCTAACTACTTCCATTTCACAAAATAAACTTTGTTTTTAACACTATACTTATCGTAAATACGTCTACTCTCGTTAAAAGCTTAGACGGAACTGGGAAGAAAAGATAAAACCTTCGTTATCGAAAATACTGAAGGCAAGCCCCACAGAAGAACCGCACTCGAATAGCATGTTTCGTTAGTTCAAGAACCAGGCTCTATATTTTTAGGTCACACAGTACCCATTTCTAGATTGGCTCTAAGCGTTTATCAGAGTATTGTTAACTTTCTAGAGAGTCTAGAGAGTTATAGATATAATCTAGAAGAACTAGTGGTAGTAGGCTGTGACGGAACTGTGGTAAATATGGGAAGAAAAAATGGTGTAATTTCTCAACTAGTGTTAAAGTTAGGACGCCTTTTACAAAGATTTGTCTGTCAGCTTCACGCTAATGAATTTAGCGTGAAATTTTTTTCAAAAGCTTGACGGTCAAACTCAAGGTCCAAGAGCTTTTGCAGGAACTATAGGAAATCAAATAGTGCAGTGTGACTGTGAGTTACCAGAAGTAGATTTAATTGACTTGAGTGCCGATCAGAAACATTTGTTTCAAATTTATGTCATATTTCTACAGTGTTCTGTCGATTTATTGAACCGAAGCCCTGGAAAGTTGAGTCATTCTCGATGGCTCACGTTGGCAAATCGCATTCTACGTCTTTATGTTAGTACTGAAAGTCCAACATCAGAATTAAACAAACTGGCCAACTTTATTGTCACGGTTTATGCTCCTTTATGGCTTCAGATTAAATGCAACTCATCATATGTAAATGGTGCAGAGCATGTCATCAAATAAAACGTAGTCAATACCTAGAGCAAAATTTGAAAAGTGTTGTAGCCCCTGTAATTCAAATAATCTATTGTACATTTGGATAAACCTTCTATTTTGTACATTTGGAAAATCTTCTGCTATGGTATGCTGAATGACACTCGTCCGCATATAAGAGAGCTTGCACTTCGCCGTATTCTCAATGCATAAACTAAAGCCAATAATCATTCATCTAATATCTGACCTTTTATTATTCCACATATTAATTTTGACGTAGATGTCATATTGATCTGATTGATTGGCAAAACAATAAAATAACTTGTCCTCCATTGTTTTAAAGTATAGGAGAATAGGAGAGGAGTATAGGAGAAGAAAAATATTATTTCCGGTTCTTCTGACATCGACATCGCTACATTTTTCTGTCACGCCCAATCTGTAGAAAGATTCGTGAAGCTCTTAACATACCTAGCCTTTTATGATCAAAATCGGTGAAATAAAGAATACTTCAAATATCTTTTCAATGCTGTACAATACAGTATTACATTACATCGAACAATACGAGCAAAAATATACAGGAAACCATAGTGTTATGCTTCATAGAATAATTAAATCACACATTAAATACACTAATAAAATCTGCAATACATTCGACTTGATAACATAGTTGTAAAATTCGATTCTATTAATAAATATTCAAAATCGCAATCCATTTTCGTCAAACTTCCTAGTATCCCGAGATGTCATCGACCAACAAAATGGCATCTTGCCAACCATCCTTATCATTAACTAGAAGTCATTCAAACTTCATTAAATCGAAATCCGTCGTTCAAACATAAAAGCGTTTAATTTTTCCTGCAAATAAATTTAGAAAAAGCGTTTTTGTAAATCAAACGAAACATTTGAACAAAACGGAATCTAGTACGAATCTCTTAGTGAACTTTTTTTTTATCTTGCAATGCTCCTTAAAAACATTGTATTAATATTTCTTTTGTTGTAGGTGCCTTAAATAAAAAAATCCCTGTTAAAAAGTCTGAAGAAAAAGAACAAATAGAAGAACCGGTAGTAGAAAAACCTCAAGAAGAGCCAAAAGAGACTGAAGAAGAGAAAAAGGAGCGTGTTCGTAACGCTGTTAGTATTATCTCAAGTGCCTTAGATAAAGAAGGAGCAAGAAAATCAAAATCTCGACCTTGCATAGAAAGAAAACCTCCCGTACCTTTCGGAGTTGGCGGCAGATCGGCATCTGGTAACATTGGTATGCTGACTCAACCTCTTTCACCACCACCAGGACCAAAACCTTATGTGCCACCTAAGTTAGACAACTTGCCAGTCCAAAAAGTAGAAGACAAACCACAGGACGTCGAAGAAAATAAAGTATCTTCTGCCGAAATTACATTAAAATCTGCTACTTTGCCCAGGAGAAAGACTGCCAAAGCTGAGATACAATTGAACTACCCTGTGCCTACCGCAATGGGATTCAAGACTGAAATGGCTCACAACGTTGAAGGTAAGCAAATTTATATACTGGATTTTCAATATAAAAAAACCTTACAATAGCTTTTTGTATTGTTAGTAATACCTTCTTCTTCTTGATGTGCCTATCCATTACGAATGTTGGCAATCATCATGGCAATCTTTATCTTATCTGCAGCAGCACGGAAAAGCTGCACAGATGTTGTATTGAACCAGATTCGGAGGTTCTTTAACCAAGATATTCTTCTTCTTCCTGGACCCGTTTTCCAAATATTTTTACTTGCAGGATGGCTTGAAGGAGAGCATATCTGGATTCATTTCGCAGAATATGTTCGAATAATTGTTACTTTCCATATTTGATAGTGGTCAGTACCTCTCGGTTCCTATCCATTCCTCTGAGGACCTCCTCATTTATGACTCGGTCAGTCCTCGGGATTTTAAGTATTCTCCGATATAGTCACATCTCAAATGCTTCAAGTTTTCTGCATATATCTTCGTTCAAGATACACGATTCAACACGATAAAAAAGGGCAGAGAAGACGTAGCATCGCAGCATTCTTACTTTTGTATCAAGAGAAAGGTTGTGACTCTAGAAGAAGGCCGCCATCCGATTGAAGGTGGATCTAGCTTTCCGATGCGTGCTCTAATCTCCTGGTTATTGGTCCATTTATAATTTACCTTTAGGAACAATTTTAGGAGATGACTCATGAGGCTTATAGTACGGTAATCTTCGCATTTTTTGGCTCCTGGTTTTTTTGGAAGAGCAATAAACTCATATTTATGCCATTCTGTTGGTATTTCTCCAGAGTTGTATATGTTGTTGAATATCTTTGTGATTATTGCTATTGATTCGTTATCCATTAGTTTGAGTAGTGCTGCTTGTATATTATCAGGGCCTGCCTCTTTGCCATCCTTTAACTGTGTTATTGCGAAATAAACTTCCTGCTGTAATATTTTTAGTCCATCATTGACTCTTCTTCTAGCTCAAAGGTTTTATCTCATTTCTTCAAATAGTTTTTCTAAAAATTCTTTCCGCGTTCTTATTTTACTGTTTGTCCAAGATGATGTTTCCGTCAGAATCAGTTATATTTCCTTTCTTCCTTCGTCTTAGTTCCCCTGTGAGTTCTTTAACTTTCCTATGTACATTGTGACTATCGTACTTTGACTGCAGAGTCTCAATTTCTTCGCATCTTTCCCTTGCTTCTTTTTCTTTCTGTTCTTGTTAATATATTTATGGTTTTATATTTGTCTGGGTCATTTTTGGCTTCTCTTCTCTCGCCCATTAGTTTTAGGATCTCATCTGTCATCCATGATTTTTGCTCCATTAATCTATCTGTCTTTAAGTGTTTATCCTTTAAATTTTGCCCTATTTCTGTAATATGTTTGATCGTTTGTTCTTCGTTCGATTCGTCTCTAATCGCAGTCACTTGCTCGTTTAACGTGGCTTGGACTCTCATCCTTGTATGAAGGTCTTTCAGCATACGTAAGTCTGCTCCAGGATACGTCTTAACAGATGTAAAGCTGTTTCGGAATCTTTTATTTACTAAAATGTAGTCTATTTGATTTCTAATAATTCTCCCGGGTCTGTCTTGAGGGGATTTCCACGTGTACAGCTTGCGAGGTGGTAATTGGAAGAATGTGTTGGTGACAACACGTTTGAGTCTTAGTTCTGAGTCTTCTGCGAATTTTTCTAGGGTCTCCTCCCTCGTTTTTGACTTCCATGCACTCCAATGTACTGTGTCTTATCGCCAGCTCCAATCTTGGCATTAAATCGCCCATAATGATGAGAACTTCCTGTTAGTAATACCACACCAATGAAATACAATTATTACTATTATTATTAATACAATAATTCTGATTCTGGCAATGGATACCTATGGTTTCATTTAGACAATAGTTAGTTGAATATTTCTTCCTTGTAGATATTTTAACTTGCCTTATGTGAAAAAAAAATAATCCAACAAAAATGTGTCTATTGTAATATAAAATTTTTTATTTTTCTTTATTTTTTAGGTTACAATCCACAACGAACAGAGGTCATAGTTCCTGTTACCGAAGTAACTCTACCAAGGCCAAAACAAGACAACTCTTCAAGAGAGAGGATAATACCCATAGCGTTCGAAAAACAAGAGAGCCAAGAACCGATTCATTCGCCTCCTCCTATAAAACCTCCTGCTGCGAGAGTTTTCCAAACCCAACGGTCCAATAGTTCTCAAAAGTGAGTATTTTCGAGATTTTTTTATTCTTATAACCAGGTTTTGCTAAAAACTTGCCAGAATACTGAGGAAAATAATGCCACAAGAAAATTTGGAACAAAAAATCACCCACTATATTGTATCCTTTGTTACTTTTAGATCGAATCTGTCTCGGCAATCGACTCAAGATTCAGACACAGAGACTGTAGCTTCTTCTGGTGAACCTATAAGGAAGTCTCCTAGAGAATACATTATTCCAATTGCTGTAGAAGGTGGCGGATACGTTACACCTAGAGCGGGAAGTCTAGAACCCAGTGATACATCTAGTACTACTAGTACGATGACAAATAAGAGGAAGAGCAAGTTTGGAAAAGGAACCAGAAGACTCAAGTAAGTATTAAATAGGACGATAATTGTTTTGTGAGTAAACCTTATGCAATTTTTGTATTTTTTCACGCGACTTATCTTTTTCCTTAAAGCGTCACCATACCACGTATCTCGAAGCAAAATTTAATCTGTGATTTCTATGTAGGGTATAACTAGTCGGAGACAAAAAATATAACAAGAAATAATAATTTACACATATGTAATGTTATTCACGCAGGATTCACTGTTGCGGCAGTCTATAAGTAGGTCATATTAATCGTATTTCCAAAAAATTCGAATAGCTATGAAAATTTTTGTAATAGAAAATAATATTTGAAATTATATTTAGAATTTGATTTGGTTTCAAAATTTTCTGAAAGTAATATTAACAAAGTTTGTATTACAATATACTTTAACTGGATATGGTAGCATCGTAAATATCCTTAGTGGGACAACGTACAGTACATTCAACCAACTTAAACCTCTAAACGATTAATGGAATTCGCAGAAAACCTTTCGTTGTAGTAAAAGGCACGGTAAACTGCACTGGAGTTCTCCATAATCTTTTTAATTACTTACTTTGTTTAGAATATTTTTGCCTGTATTATCAGTTAGAGTTAATTTGTATAAAATGAGGAGCAAAAATTCAAATGGAATTTTAAATATTATTGTTTATTTGGCTAATAATGAATGTATAAATATAATGGTTAACCTGCTGTACAATTATTTTGTAAATAACATTATAATAGTGTACTTACTGATTATTTAAATTTATAAATCATCATCATCGTCACTAAATTCACTACCGCTATCATTATGTAAATCTATAATCACTGGATTAATTTCACTAATTTTATTTTCCCGTATCCACCACTCTTCTATTAATGTTTCAGCTTTATTTATAGTTTGCTACATTTCCGTAACTGCATCGTCACTGCATCCAACGTGATTATCATAATACGTTTTACATATACTCCGGCTGTGTTCAATGGGATTAATAATCTGGCAGTGATATTAATTTTATTTTTCCGGATCCACCACTCTTCTATTAATGTTTTAGCGGTATTTACAGTTTGCCACATTTCAATAACTGCATGGTCACTGTATCCACTGCATCCAACGTGATTATCATAATATGTTTTACATATACTCCAGATGTGTTCAAAGGGATTAATAAACTGGCAGTGATACGGCGGTAACCGTAGTACTAGATGCCCATAACTTGATACAATTTGGTCATCTATATAAACTGTTGATTTTTCATTAAATTTCGAAATTTCCAGTAACTCTGATTTGAAGGAGTATTCCGGAAAATTGATATTATTTTTAGCTAACCAATTTTTTATGCTTGGTATGTTCCAAAAGTGTTTAACAAACATATCTGCATTTATATTTTCATGGTAATCAGCAGATTTTGATTTTGAAGAAAGTCAAATCTGCGTTTTCTATAATAAAGCCTTCTTTCCATTCTGAATGAAGAATGGTGTGTCTTTTGCCTTCGCTATCTGTGTGTTTTATTGATTTTATGCTGTCGTCTTGCCAAATTCTTTTAATTCCACCCTTTGCAAATATCTATGTCTCATCTAAGTATACCATTGTTGCATTTTCAGATTTAAGTCTAGTATATTCTCTCAAAAATTTAATTCTTTTGTGAACCACACTACTTCTTTCGCATACAAGTAACCTGTTATTTTCTTTTTTGAATTTAAATCCTAAATCTCTCAACACTTTCCAAAGGCTAGTCCTCTTAATTTCAGAAACTTGTCTTTCTCGTATTTTGGCCAGTAAAGTATCTAAACTGACATGTTGATTGTTTTCACACATTCGATACAAAATATTGCGAATTTCAAATTTTTCTCCATCAATTAAGTCAATGCTCCTAGAATGTTTACGAGTTGTTTTCTTGTCTTCGTGATACTCAGTCACAGTAAGATCTTCTTGAGAATCTCTGACAGTCTTCATTACAGTTTTTAGCTTACTTTCACTTATCCCGAGTGCGTCACAAACGCGTTGATTTATACATAATAATGACTTTAAAGGTCCACCATTGTCTCTTTCCATGGTAAAGTATTTATGCACATTTGCAATTAATTCATCAATATCCAACTTACGTCTAGGCATGATGGTCACTTGAAACTACACGTTTGAATTACAATATACTGAGTTTAGATCAATATGACAGAAACTTTCTAACTGTTGTGCTTGAGAGGTAAAATATAATATAACCGCTTACAAAGATCCTAAACACATTAAGCAAATTAGCCTAATGATCATAGGAATGCCGATTGTAATTTAATTATGTTTGATAAAAAGCTTAGAAATGTTTGAAACCGTACATAATAAAAACGAGAAAAACTCAAGTTGTGTACTATACTTTTTCTACCATTATTTTCGTTTATAAAAATTAAAATTAAAATTACAACTATATTTACACTGACAGATTAATAATTTTTAATCTGTCAAAATAACGTCTGTTAATTCGTTTCCATGGTAACTCGACCAACTGACTTACGAGGCTTATGTGATATTACACATTTTTATAAAACTGAAGCGTAATTTTTTTATTACGTGCTAGTCATTACGTGTCAGTATCTGTTATGATGCATTTACTTAGCATCCAAATAGTAGGTTATATACAATTTACTAGTAAGAGAGTAGAAAAACAAATTAAAATGTTTCCCACAATTATTTTATTTTTAGTACAAGTGTTTTCATTTGAAAATAAAAAGTTAAATATATTTACCAAAACCCTAACTTTAGCCCGTAATCGCAGACGTCTCAAAAACGGTACACTCGAACAGACATATGGTCAATCTAACCACCACTATTTAAATTGACAAAATGTTCTAGTTTACTCCGAAGTACTTTTTAACAAAAATTAAAAGTGATATTTTAGTACTTTGTATATCTACTTTGAATTTAAATTATCCTTAGCACGGTAGTATTTGTTTCAGAAGAAAATTATTAAACAAGTAGGTGAAAGAAATTTACGTTAAATAACGTTATTCAAGAATACTATTTATTAAAAAAAATGTAACAAAATATGCAAAACTATGAACAACGGGATAATGACACATATACTTATTTTATACCTAAGATTTAGAAAAGTGTTCAACATTATGTGCAGTTTATCGTGCCTTTTACGATAGTTTACCATTATTGGTAGGAAATTATATTTCCTATATCCTTTACATCATCCATGCTGTTGCATGTGATTTATACACTTTCTTTTTAACGTAAACAAAAAAATCAGTTAATTTTATTAAATTCTGGTAATTCACCTTTTAGAGGTGGAACCTCTTTCAATAATAATCTTCAGCAAAAAAATGTAAAACATCTTACTATTTATGTGATCTAAAAAATGTGATTCCACTAAAGTTAAAGTATAATTATCAACAATACCTTCGCATACATTTTGTGACTATATAATTTAACTCTGTGTAATTATGGATTAAATAAAGTTGTAAAGAATACAACAAGACCATTTTTATGTAAATTAGCTTTACTGCACACTGTCGTAATTTTCACTATAGTAGTAGTTTTTGTTCTTTTCTCATTTTAAAATCCTTCAAGCTTGCTTTTTCAAGTTGTCTCCTTATAGCAAACAGTTTATAATACATTCTTAGTGATAATAATGCGTGTTTTACTACCATCCACATCATTGTGTCATTTCATTAACAGCAAAATCAATCTGTGCTAGTTAGAATAACAACTAAATTAACAAACAATAATGCTAAACTTTCAGTAAGTGAAAAATCAAGTAAGTGAAAAATCAATCAAGTGAAGTTTTCAAATGAATGTTATCAAAATCTTCTTATAAATTCCGAAAATCATTAAAAATTATGGTTATAACAGATTATCAATATTGTACTCATTTTTAATCATACATAAGATTAAATTTGTTATGATTTTTTGAAAAATTGGGTTATCATTACCCTGTACAACAAATGTTAAACCCAGGGTTTTTCATTCAAAAATATTGACATTGACATATTGACATTTTCTAATACTCTAATTGTTTTGGTTATATGTTTGTTTAAAACTAATAGAAATGTTTTTTAGTTCATTCTTTGGTGATAGAGACTCTGAAGATGAATCTTCACCGTTTTCTGCGTTTCATCATCCAAAAGATAGTGATAATGAAGATTCTAGGAGGGATGCTTTCCACAGGCTAAGGTAAATTTTCATTACTTTTGTAGAAGTTTTGTTATAACATGTTTGAATACTGTTTTTTAATTACAAAGTGTAGAACAAAAAGAAATGTAATGAGTGAGGTACTGAAATTCAAAATAATTCTGGAATATAAATCTGTCATTGAAAAGGAACAACGGTGGAATTGGTCGCTTGGCTATAATTCTTGCCATATACACAAGTTACGGTGTTTTTGGCAATATATTTCACATTCTTTTTCTCTCAATTGTATTATAGGTTTATTTTACCCATTATATATCTAGCTTTGTTTATCAATTATATTATTTTCATGTAGGTACGACTTTTGAAATTTTAAACTTTTGGTCTTTGCTATTGTAATGTTCGTATCTACGTCTAGGATATGTATTTTTAGTTCCATCACCATGGTGTCATTCTACAACAACGTGTTCATCATTTATGCTGATAGCATTATAGCAATAAAGCTTGAACTGAACTAATTTATAATTTAAATTGAGGAATAATAATTAAACAGAGTATTTTCAGTTGAAAAAAAGTTGAGCGCCAACTATTTTTAGAAGAAAAATAGTAAAACAAAACACAAAGTTAACAAATGAATAAAATCAAAAGAAATTGGAACAAAATAATTATTTGAAGAAAAATAACAAACATGTGACGTTTATAGCATTATAGTAAATATCGTATTTTTAAAATATTTAGCCAATTTCAGAAAAATAACCAGAAAATAAAATAAAGATCAGAAACTCTGAGAACTTTATGCTTCAAAACTGAGAAACAAGTTGTCACAATTTTCACCAGGAGGTATTATTGAAGATATCTTGAGAAATACAAAAGAATCAGTTTAACAGGTAGCAGAAATGTGCACAAAAAGTATGGAGGCACAATTAAACAAGAATAATTTAATACACATACTGTCAATGCATAATCATGAAAAGAAACTAAGTGAAAAAAAAACTTGTAAAATACAAGAAAATTTTTATAACAAGGATATTATTAAAGATTTTTGATTAAAAGGCAAAACAGCAGAGTAATGTAATGAAACTACGTGGAACAATATTTGGAACAAGTAATAAGGAGTCGCAATTTAGAAACATCTCAAGAAACTATCCTGTTGATCGAGAACAAATCCAAGAGAAAATGGAAGTCCCGATACAGGTGAAATAAAAGAAATTATCAGAAATGACAACAATAATCAAAGTGCAGGATGCAATGGGATTATTAGTTCGTGAAAAAAGGCGGTCCCAACATGATGTAAGTAATTCATCAGATAATAACATTAAAATGCGGTGGTGAAAAGATAACAGAAAGCTAGTCTGAAACTATATTTAATATATTCCAGTACTAAAGAAAAGCCATTTTGCAGTTTGTACCAATTACAGATGTATAACTCTGCTGGATCTGATCTTCTTAAGGTGCCATCTTCTTTCAAATGTTGGCAAATAATATGAATACTTCTGTTTAGTGCTGCTCCGAAGATCTGGTTAGATGAGCAGTTGAACCATTCTCGGAGATTGCGAATTAAAAACATCCGTCTCGCACCAAAGCTATGTCTTTCCATGATTTTGTATTGTATAGTAACATAACAGCTGGTATTGGAGTCCTCTCGTAACGGATGTAATATATAAAATTGTTTTAAAATAATTAAAAACTGGATATGACGCTATGAGAAGATAATATGGTAATATCAAACGGGATTCAGGAGGAAAGTTTAGTAATGGACTAGATATTCACTTTGAAATAAAAATTTTAAATAGTAAATTACGAATATAACCTAGCACTACATACACTATTTATAGATTCTAAGCAAGCGTATGACTAAATAGACATAAAGGAATGCTGCATAAAAAAATAATTAAACATACCAAAAAAAATCATTAAACTGACAAAACTAACATTAACCAATACAGGCAATAAATTGGTAGTACATAGACAGAATTGGGAACCGTTCAGAATAAATCGCGGAGTACGACAGGAGACCCTCTATCCAAGACCACGTTTAATTTAGCCCTAGAAGTAGTACTTAAAGTAAGTAACAAATACCGAGGGCATACTATTCTTTTATGAAGACCTAAACAATTCGATAAGACTGGTGCCTACTACACACAACCTAATTATGGGCGACGTTAATACCAAGTTGGGATATAAACTGGACGATACCGAAGTAGCAATGAGTTCCTACGGATTCGGACAAAGAAATGGAAGGGTGGAAATATTTTTAGGTTTCTTGATGCGAAATGGCCTCTTTGCAATAAATGGCTTTTTAAAAAACCCCAAAAAAAATGGACATGGGCCAGACCAGACGGAGTGACCAAAAATGAAATCGATTTTGTCCTTAACAACAACAAAAACATGGTTCATTATGTAACGTTATTAGCTGTTCAGTGGGAAGTGTTCATAGAATGATAAGAACGATTTTCTAAAAAGAAATATACAAAATGATAACAAAAACACACCCAACAAGATGGTATCCAATCGAAACACCATGTTCTTCGAAGAGGAAATTCTGAGATACCTGGTGACAACAAACATAGACGACATGGAGATGGAAGCTATAAACGGTAACTTAATAAAAGCTATCAGGAACGCAGGTAATAACCGCAATACAAATCGCAGGAAGGACAAGCAGGAAAAAATCAGTTAAGAGACCAAAAGCCTTCAACAAAAGAACAAAAACGAGTGCACGCGTACTACCACAGCTTAATAAAATACTGTGCGAATAGACTTAAGATAATATAACATCAAACAGATTACGATGGTTATCGATGAAAATTAAAGTTTAAGGGTGCTGAAGAGAAGTCAAACTCCAAGATTATATTTAAGCTGGCAGATCAAAATGGACAAATAATAACAGACAAAGAAAAAATAAATAAAATAGAGGAATTTTATGCAGAATTATGTAGAGATGTATCATTAAGTTGAGAAAAGTCCCAAATGTGGGGGTTCAGAGGACATTAAAGATATATCAATTGAAGAAGACTCAAAGTCATTAAATCATATAAAAATCAATGAAGCAGCGGGGATGACCAAATCGTTATTGAGGCAGTTAAAACAGGAGAAAAGACTGTATTGCAGACGCAAATCGTCTACTCGTCTTCGAAAGGAAGATACTACGGAGAATAATGGGCACAATATGTGAAAATCATATTTGGAGAAGGCGATATAATTTGGAATTGTACGAGAAGTGTAAAGAAATCGTTAATGGTAGAGATGTAATATCTTTCATAAAAATAGGTAGGCTTAGATAGGCTGGACATGTGTCAAGATTAAATTAAAATTAAAATAAGAGATTAAAACCCAGACAAATCCCATTTGCGGCACTAGTAGGAAATAGGAGTGGAGGTAGACCAAAACTGAGATAGAAGGATGGTGGGGACGAGGACGCGAGGAAGTTTGGCGCACATCAGACTGGCAACGGTTGGCGATGAACAGAAACGACTGGCGAAATAGACTGGGGAAAGTCGAGGCTCAATTAGGACTGTAGCACCACTGATGCTGATGAAAGACAGTATTAAAAGCATTGACACAATGAACTCATGTCTTTCAAAATAAGTTTCACAGTCTCAATGGAATAGAGCCGTTATAGTAGCATTGTACAAAAAGGGAGATCTAAGCTTAGCTGTTTATGAAGAGACTACTCAACAGGTTGACACCAAAACTAGACTTGTTTCAACCGTGTGAGCAGGATTTAGAGCTGGATACGGAACAAATGATTATTTGCAAAACATCAAGTCGTCAATTGAAAAAAAAACCATTGAATATACTAGACCTATGATGTTTGTCTTTATCGACTTTTAATAAGCGTTTGACACTGTCAATCAAAGTGAAATGCCCCGTGTTATAACGTAATGAAGAATATACCCTCATCAAATATATCTCTTATCAAATACATATGTGAGCATGTTACAGTTTATGTAAAATTTAATGAGGATCCTGGGATATTTCGTATTGAAAGAGTCGTTCAACAAGGAGACAATATGTCTTTTAAATTATTTAAAACTGTGGTTGAATACGGAAGAAAGATTGTAACGAGAAAGGCATCAATTTAGACGTAAAATTTTTAAGTAATCGAGTGTGCTGATTATCTGTTATCGATATGACAGGCAGTATTTTTGAGCTGGATAGAGAAACAATGACACCACCGAAGATGATAATTGAGGAAATTACATTAATACTTAGAACGTCAGAAATACGAGCCTTAAGTGAGAAACTAGCAGGAATAGAAGACCAACAGCCACCTAACTATCAGGACGATTTTTTAAAAATGGCGGTATAGCTGGTATTCAACGTCACAAATACGACTACAGCCTTAAAATGTGACAAGAACATACCGAAGGTTTAAAATAATAAGAAGAAGTAATTATAACTAGCTTATACTCAGCAAATTTTACAAGTATTTTTGTATGGTATACACGCAACATGGATAATAATACGAATTACGTAAAGCTCTCGAAAAATCTGTTGTATCTAATTAAAGTAACATTACACATTAGATCATTTCCCATTCGTAGGTGCACGCAGATATTTTCTATACGTCTTTTTGTCACTTTTTGTTCTGTTTTTCCCCCTCTCTCCCTCTCTTTCGTCTTTTCATAGGTTAAGTTTTCAACCACATTTTTACTGCAAATGTAAAATTCCGAAGCTTTAGTGAAATGTGTTTAAACAATTATTTCCATAGTCTGTTTCTCTAATGAAATTCTCTAGATAACTTTCGTTACACTATCCACATGACTTGGTATTAATCGTGAGTTGGTCAGCAGTACATAAGGAGAATACAAAGATGCTAGGAAGATTATCAAAGGAAGTAGGATGGGAAATTAATGAGAAAAAAGATATGTTTTTTAAAAAATGGTAACAAGAAAGCGAAACAACATTTAAAAATTAAAAACAGATCTGTATATACCTACACAACACACACAAAGAAACGATGAAAGCTTAGGGGTAATTCTGTATAGTCTGATTATTGTTCCCACTCTGATTTATATATCCTTATCTAACATAAGACTAAACACCTTCGGCTAGGAAATTAAAACCTACCTTTTAGATTATTTAATAACATTTTTATATTTTTTTAGAACCACTCGTACTAAGAAGGCAAATATGGAACACGCAGATTCTGTTAGCTCTGGAGACGAGGACGACGATGAAGCTTTTGAGATATTAACAGCAGAGAACCTATTCTCCACGCTTCTTTCTAGGGTAAATTAAAAATGATTACATAATTATTAGCAATTCTATAACAACTCTACTATTTTAGGTCAGGGATTTAACTCAAAGGTTAAATGTAGATGAAGGAATGAGACCTGGTTTTCCATCTAGCAGATTGTTTAGCCACTTTGATCATGGAACGAATTTCTTTAATAGAATAGAGCATCCTTTATCTAGGTAACTATAAAATGTTAAATATAGATATTTTGATCACAATGTTACATAGAATGGAAAGGTCTAGGTGAACTTCACTTTGTACCTCTAAGGTCACCGGAGTTTAACTACATCGACTTTTTTATCTATGGCTGTATGAAGATTGTAGGAAGATTTAATAGCCAGAATTCAAGCTGCTGTTGAACACATATAGTTTAAACCTGATTTCTATTAAAGACACGTTTTTTTATGAGCCAACATTGTAGAATATGCTTTCAAATTTTAATTCAATTGCAGGAACTACTCGTACAAACTAAGGCCATACATACACTCAGCGGCACGAGAAACGGAGCACTTGCATTATTAAAATAAAAACTTAAAATTTTAATTATTTTAATTTTTTTAAGTAATTTCTAATAAAAACTTTAACTTTTAAACAATAACAATTGAAAAATTAAGGAAAAAACGTAAGTAAATGTAATAAAATGACGCTCCATTAATGAAAACTTAAATCATGTGTCCGGACACACTGATTTTAATAATGAATGTTTTTTCCACGTGCTCGAATTATTGCCCGAATTCTCCTTGGCATGCCTAAAATCAAACGTGATCTGTCATGTTAAGAAGTTCCCATTCCTCTAAAAGGACTTCTTGTAACTGATTCAAAGTTAAAGGGTCAGGAACACGACTTCGTATCCTTCGCCCAAGCATGTCCCAAACGTGTTCGAATGGGTTTGCGTCTGGACTCAATGCTGGCCAATACATTACAGGAATGTTTACTTCATTTAAAAACTGTTGAGTGATTGTCAAACTGTGTGGCTTGGCATTATGACGATGACCTCCTCATTCTACTTAAATTTTTGCCCGGCGAGTGCCCTTTTTAAGTTTGGAAACAAAAAAAGTCACACGGGGCCAAATCTTGGGAATACGGTGGATGGGACAACAGTTCGTAGCCCAATTCGACCAATTTAGCCATATCGAAGGCGGAGGTATGAGCCAATGCGTTGTTATGGTGAAAGAATACTTTTTTCTTCGCCAAATGGGGTCGTTTTTTCTGCAATTCTTCGTCGAATGGGCCCTATAATTCGGCGTAATAGGACCTTGTGACCGTTTTGCCCTTCTCCAGTTAGTCGATGCAGATCATCTCTTGTGAATCCCAGAAAATGGTGGCCATCACCTTTCCGACCGATAGGACAGTCTTCGCATTCTTCGGAGGACATCGCCGGGTGCCATCCACTTTTTCGAATTGAAAAAGACTGTAAGACTTGTACACACTTCTAAATAGGTCTAACTGGTAGGCTGGTTTTGTATGTTTTCAATAAAATTGATAGTGTGTAAAATAATTTAATAATTAAGCTAAGTATACTTTCGACATAATAAATGTCATCATCAGAGCTATCCTAAAATAACGTTAAGTTAAGTAAATTTTTTTTATATAAAATACAATGATAGAAAAAACTTACGTCAATTAGGCAATAAATACTTCATAGAAGGACAATTGTGCACAAACGACATATTAAAATTCAAAGATCGGGCTCTGTAGGCCACAGATCTTGGGTCTAACCCTTATACATATGTATAATTCACATTTAAAAAGTTTTTATAAAAACATGGTTACCACATACAGTAACGACAACAGCTGTCTTTGACTTACATTTTTGAAGTAAAATGAAAATGAAATAGGAAGCTCGGATATACGGAAATAAATCCTAGAGCGACCTCTGTATTTAAATTATTAATTAAAAATTGAAAATGTCTAAAATGACGTCTGAAGGTTATTGATTATTAATTTTAGCTACTGTAGAATTTTAAATTTAAATATTTTAAATTGATTAGTTAACGTGAAGATTTAAATATACATTTATCAAAATTATCAAAAAACAAAACTTTAAAGTTTGACCAAATAGAAGAAAGTAGATGAAAACCAACCAAGGAGAAGTATCATTTGCTAAGTTAAGAGTTCAACAGCTATTCTTGATTATCGATATTATTAATAAAATAATATTATTAATAAGAAAAATAATCACAACAATAATATTCAAAACACTAATAGATTGAATGGCTCCTTTAAATTTAAATTTCACAAACGCATAGTTAATCTAACAAATTGCTCATTCACTAATAAAGAATTTGATTTTTTGTCTAACGGATTAAAATTCTCTACCTTAATACCATTTAACAACAAAACAGTTGAAGAATTTTCAGTTGACATAGATTCTGTAATAGAAAGCTTACCTTTAGACTACATTTCTAAAACCAACTTAAAAGCAATTGTTTCCTTTCTTTACAAAAAGATCTTATCAAATTTAATAATAATGTTAATAACATAAAAATCAAATGCTTTAAACAACTACATTTGATTAGACAAATATCTACAAAATTGAATAGTAACAATCTTATTATTACTAAAGCTGATAAAGGTAACTGCCTCATTATCATGTACCATCATGATTACGTTCAAAAAACAGAAGAATTTCTAAGAAATAATAACTTTGACATTCTAGATAGAAATCCTCTAAATAAACTAGCTACTAATCTTAAAGCTATTTTATCTAAACATAAAGATTTCCTACAATCACATAATAGGATAGAGAAAACCTTCATTTTGTCAAATCCGCAAATACCAAGACTATATGGTTTACCAAAAATTCATAAACCTAACACCCCTATGAGACCAGTGGTTAGTTTTTATAACACACCAGTTGTTAAATTGTCCAAATTCATCAATTCTATATTACAATCCTCAATATCTGTTCAACCCACTTTTTCTGTCAAAAACTCTACAGACTTAGTAAATAAATTGTCAGTTTTAAATTTACCTAGAGTCTTTTTTCTAGTTTCCTTTGATGTAAGTAATTTGTTTACAAATGTACCTAGAGATGAAACCATTTCCATAGTTGAGAAATTACTTATTAAAAACAACATTAATAGAGATACAATTTTTCACATATTGGGTTTACTTAAATTTTGTCTTTCACAAGATTTCTTTTCTTTCAACAATATTATTTATAAACAGGCACAAGGATTGGCAATGGGCAATCCCTTATCACCTTTGCTAGCAGATCTATTTCTGAATAACCTGGAGATTAATATCTTTGACAATCTTTCTCTGAATCAAAACCCGTTTCAAAAAGTTTTATATTGGTTCAGATATGTGGATGATGTGTTAGCTATCATTGATGGAAATTCCTCAGATGCAGACAATATCCTAGTTTCACTTAACAACTTACATCCAGCTATAAAATTCACCTTAGAAACAGAATCCAACAATTCTATTAATTTTCTAGACTTAACATTAACTAAAATAGATAATAAATTAAATTTTTCAGTCTTCAGAAAACCAACTCAGACTGACCATACCATCCCTAGATCTTCTAATCATCCTTTTCAACAGAAAATGGCCTCCTTTTATTGCTATATCCATCGTTTACTTAGCTTACCTCTGTCAGATTCAAATTTTAAATCAGAATTAGAAATTATTAAACAACTTGCTTATAGTAACGGTTACACCCCTACTTTGGTTGATAACATACTCAACAAATTAAGGAATAAAAGGAATAGATCACTAGCATACAACACTGTCCATAACATTTCTAACTCGACAGTTATTTATCGATCAATATCGTACTTAGGTTATCCCTCAGACAATATAGCCAGAATCTTAAAAAACATCCCTAATCTAAAACTTTCTTTCAAAGTTAAAGAAAATATCAAATCTATTTTTTCCCACACTAAAGACAAAATTAACAAATCGTCAAAAAGTGGTATTTATAAATTATCCTGTGGTGAATGCCCGGTGACCTATGTGGGTAGAACAATGCGACCTTTGGATATACGCATCAAAGAACATCTGTCTAAGATTGATAAATCTAGTTTTGGGAATCATATACATGCTTCAAAGCATGGCTTTAGTCCTCATAGAGATAGTAAGATCCTACACAGTATACCCAATAATAATTATATAAAAATGAATTTACTAGAAGATCTTGAAATCAGTAGAGAAATGAAAAGGAATCCTCAGAATTGTGTCAACACTCAAATTAATTTAAATTGTAAGTTTGATCCAATCTTTAAGAAGTTTCTTTAATAATACACTTAGTATAAAATTAACCATCATTTGATCAAGCTTTGACCTTTATTTTTAAAAAAGAGATTTTAAAAAGAGAGAATTTCTTATACTTTCTTTCATTGATTTCATCTACATAGAGAATGTTTGATATTTTCTTCTTCATTATTTATTTTATTAATAATATCGATAATCAAGAATAGCTGTTGAACTCTTAACTTAGCAAATGATACTTCTCCTTGGTTGGTTTTCATCTACTTTCTTCTATTTGGTCAAACTTTAAAGTTTTGTTTTTTGATAATTTTGATAAATGTATATTTAAATCTTCACGTTAACTAATCAATTTAAAATATTTAAATTTAAAATTCTACAGTAGCTAAAATTAATAATCAATAACCTTCAGACGTCATTTTAGACATTTTCAATTTTTAATTAATAATTTAAATACAGAGGTCGCTCTAGGATTTATTTCCGTATATCCGAGCTTCCTATTTCATTTTCATTTTACTTCAAAAATGTAAGTCAAAGACAGCTGTTGTCGTTACTGTATGTGGTAACCATGTTTTTATAAAAACTTTTTAAATGTGAATTATACATATGTATAAGGGTTAGACCCAAGATCTGTGGCCTACAGAGCCCGATCTTTGAATTTTAATATGTCGTTTGTGCACAATTGTCCTTCTATGAAGTATTTATTGCCTAATTGACGTAAGTTTTTTCTATCATTGTATTTTATATAAAAAAATTTACTTAACTTAACGTTATTTTAGGATAGCTCTGATGATGCCATTTATTATGTCGAAAGTATACTTAGCTTAATTATTAAATTATTTTACACACTATCAATTTTATTGAAAACATACAAAACCAGCCTACCAGTTAGATCCACTTTTTCGACTGTTCTTTGATCTCTGGTGTATACAAATGGATCTATGTTTCGTCAACGGTTAGGAAACGACGTAGAAAATCCTGCGGATCACGCTTAAATATAGTCAAACACTGCTCTGAAGTGGTCTCATGGTTGCGCTTGTTGTCCGGAGTGCGCAAACGCGGCACCCACCGCGCGGAACGCTTTCTTATGCTCAAAATTTCATGCAGGATATGCGGTTTTTTGAGGCGTCTACTGTCTCACTTATCTCGCGTACCATCAGTCGGCGGTCTGTCGGCGAGATCGTAGATTTTTATCACGTTATCCTCCGTGGTAGCCATTTTCGGGACACCAAGGCGTGGCTCATCAAAAACCGACGTGCAGCCACGTCGGAACTCGTTAAACCAATTTTTGATGGTTGCCATCGAAGGAGGATAGTCACATCGGATACAGCATCGAAGCGCCCTTCCAAAAATAAGGATGGATTCACCGACCAATATTGCTTGTTTTCCATTTTTCTAAAATCCGCTGTCAAAGCAAAACTACGAGTCCGATTCAGTTGAAATTTTGACGTTAGCCGTCTACGAGAATGTATTACACCATAGTAGATTTCTCATTAAGATAGTGGCGCCATCGGACGGCGAGGTTAAGTACTTATCGGACCGCCTACGTACGTGGTCGATAAGGGATTTTGAGATCACCATATATTTGGTTTTATTACTTCTCATTGTCAGTCCCATTTGTTATCATTGTTAATTTTTTCCAAAAGGACTTGTAGATCTTCTATATTTTTTGCTATAATTGCGGTATCGTCTTGCAAATCTTATTTTGTTAACAATGTTCCCTCCAATTCTTACACCTTCAGTTCATTCCCATAGTGCTTTCTGAAATATTAGTTGATCTGACTCATTGAATTCCTATCTGTTTTGTCTCACTGTCTTCTACCCTCACTGCCGCTGTTTGATTATGGTATAGATTTTTGATCCTTAGAATCTAGGCTTATGTTTCTTAGTGTATGTATGAGTTTACCAGTTGGACTCGACCAAACACTTTTTTAGCAAATTAAGCTGTACGATATGCTAATATGTTTCTTTCAATCAAAAGAATATTGTAATATATCTGTTTTATTTCTTGCTGTAGGCATTCATCTTTAGGTAGAACGTTTAATAGAGAAAGACCCATTACTAAAACAACGATGGGTAGTAGCTTTGGAGTACCATGGAGGCGAAGCGTTAGCCGTGACCTAGCCTCCGATATAGACAGCGTGTTCCAAGGCTCCAATGCAGCACCTTCACCTCGTCCTACTGGTAAGCGTGTTAAAGTAGCATATAGCTCTTTTGTGTTGTGATAAAAGAATATTCTAGGAACGGTGAAATGTTAGAAATTTTAACGTAGATATGCTATATTTTTGGTAGATTTGTTTCTTAGTATATGTTGTCTGGTATATATGAAATTCGTATAAAACAGTGGCAGGTAATAGTATATAAGTACTACAGTTCCTGTCTCCATATTGGTAATGCTATCCTGCTGAAATGTCTGCAAAACTTAATAGATATGCGTAAATATTTCCTTCCTTCAATTTTTGTCACGGAAGAACTATTGCTGCTATTGCACAATAAGAAATGGCTAATAAAATTAGCTTATTTGGACGATGTGTTAAATAAACTAAATGGGGTTACCAAGTTCTTACAAGGAGGAACTACCAACACGTTTACAGTAAGATACAAAATGGCACCACTGACAAATAAATTTAGCTTCAGGACCACATGTGTGGGACAAAGTCATTAGAAATATTTTTATTCTTAAACATTATTTAAACTTGAGATGAACTTTAGAAAATCTTGGAATACTTTTTCCCTGGTAATTTACAAGACATTAACTGGATACACAATCCATTCCCAAGTCTAAGAAAACCTATAATATTACTAACTCTGTTGAAGTATGAGAATTTGATAAATAGAGTTCGTCTACTCTGAAATTTAAATTTCAATCATTACACCTGCATACCCCAGATTTGCGAATTCAACTCCACTACATCAAACCGAATGTCAAGCTATTATTAATAACTCATGAAAAAATTGAATTCTTCGCTTTGAAATGTTTAGAAATAAAATTGATTTTCATATTAAATATATAATATCCCAGTCTTAATGACCATGGCATGACAATAATAATTGACCACGTTTAACAATTTTTTTAATTTACTTTTTAAATTAAAAAGTTGAAATCGTTAGATGGGATGTCGCTGTTCTATATAGTATCCGGTTAAGATGTAGCTTATTATAAGAGTTGAGGTTTCGATGAAAAAGTTGGTCGTTTAGGTTTTCACGAAGACAAAAAAATGGGGAGGCTTTGCCTTATTTCATTACTTAAGTTCCTCTGATGTAAATCGTTTGTGTGGTTAATTTTATTAATTAAATAATTTTTTCTTAGTATTCCCAGGCTAGCTTAAAATCTGTGAAAATTGTTTGTAATTTAAATGAAATATCAAAACCTGTTTGAGCAATTTGTAAAAAATAATTCAAGCTCCTAATGAAAATTAACGAAAAATGTTAACTTTTTGGAATTTACTACAGTAGATAAGAAAACCCTTTTTGAAAGTTCTGAAAATGAAAAACGTTTGGTATAGCAAATTTGTAGTTAATTATTACAATAATTGTGCAATCTAGCTCTGCTTGTAAAATTCTAAAATTTTCTACACTCTTTTTTGAACACTTTCCTAAAATCGCAAGAAGTGCACTCACGTTTTGTATCGGTCGGTCAAAAATACAAGAGGGAGTAGGAATGGGCATTATTCCTCCTAAAATACTTCTTCTTCTTCTTCAAGTGCCGTCTTCGTTCCGAAGTTTGGCTATCATCAAAGCTATGCGTATTTTTGATGCTGCAGATCTAAACAGTTGGTAATTGGTGCAATTGTACCATTCTCTCAAGTTTTTCAACCATGAATGCCTTCTTCTTCCTATAGATCTCTTTCCCATTATCTTTCCCTGTATAATCAATTGCAGCAACTGGTATTTATCTCCCCTCATAACATGTCCCAAATATTGTAGTTTGCGCTTTTTAACAGTAAGTATCAGCTCTTTCTCTTTCCGCACTCTCCGCAAAACCTCCACATTTACTCCAAAATACTTCTACAATATTTTAATTAGAAGTGCTAGCAATCGATTTTTTGCTTAAGATCACTATTTATTGTTCAGACAGCCTGACTGACGTCTACAGCTTTTCAGTCGGTACCAACTTGGAACTGCAAACATTTCTTTAAGCAACTGACAGGGCACAATAAAGTAACTTTGTTATGGGTACAAGGGTACAAAGAAACTTTTGGTAATGCGATTTATGATAGCATTCTTTTTTTTTTCTTCTCCTTTTATCGCACCAGAGCCATTCTGCGGTGTACCAAAAATCCACATAATGGTATGTTTAATAAAAATCATGCACTAATAATTTTTAAATAAGTTTTAAAATTTTTGTAAATTTCCGAAGAAGCTGCTTTGTACACATCAAATTTTAAGAAACCTTACAAGCGCTTTCTGATTTCTCGTAAGCAAATTTCAAAGACCATTTTTCCGTATTTTTTTGTTTTGAAATGACGAAGACATCAGGGAGGATGTCGAAAACTCGGGGTACATTCACAGTCACGAACAATCGCGCGGCATGCATATACACCGCGTGATTATCTTTTCGACGTCGGCGTTGTATTCATTGCCCGAAGAATCGTAAAATAACGGTAGAGAGAGTAAGGTAAGAGGCGAGTCGTAGCTTGCTTCTGAAGGTGAAAATAAAAATTTGTTCACATGTATTTATTTAGTTATTTATACAATTATTAGGTGTATATGTAATTATTTATGTTCTTTTTCTAGGCTATTAATAGATTAGATTGTAAGTGAAAAATAGGCGTTTTTTTTATATCCTTTTTCCATTAAGAAACAAATAGAAAGGACTGTTAATGCAATTTAGGTTTTAATTTTTTTTTACTGAAACCATATACTTATTTTCATATTTGCGAATGGAAAATATTTTCCAACATGCCAAATTTCGACATTTTTACCGTACTTAGAATATTCACGGATGTGCAGTAGATAAATGTTACCATTTTTTGCTAGTTGTTAATTTGTAGGGTATTTTTCCTGCAACTGGGTATATTTTATAAAAATATTTTTTGAATGATATCTTTTCTAGTTTGTATGATACACTAGTTTGGTTTGCGGATACTATATTTTTAGCGATTTATGGAGAATAGTGTTCGAAAATTTATTGTAATATATTTTTGATGTTTAATTTGGTTGGTGTAACGTATTCTGACGTTCGATAGTAAGATGTGTTCAACAATAACTTATTTTAATAAAGACGCTTTGTCAACTATTATCAAAACTATTAATTATTCAATTAGGCACCGCATAACATTGCGAGAAAATGAAGGACCCAGTTGATTAGTCACTCAGCAGCTCACTAACACTCTTCTTTCTCCTAGGACAACTTTTGATTGATATTTTTACCAACGAAAGAAGGTATTCACTAAAGAGGGAGTTAAAACAAACTCATATGTTTCATGGTGAAATTAAGGAAAGATGAAGGAAGTGCAAAAGCTAACCGGTTTTCCGAAGAAGCAGGCGAAGATCTCGATTGAAATATTTGCTTCGTAAACAACTTTTGATTTGGACTCTCTAAATTTAGCTTCGTTTGCATATATGCATAATTCGTCACTTATTATGATCTCATAGTCTTCTTTTGAACCACTACGAGTTCATTTTTGTAACACTTTAGGGAAATCCGTAGAAATTGGCAAATGATAAATATTGATTGTATATGACTCAGTATCACCTGAAATTACAAGATGATCTTGCAATGTTAGTTAAGTACTGCATTATAATTGTAAAAATAGCACTTTCCCAAAAAAAGGGTTGCTTAAAATTAATCAATTCAAAAGTGTTCACATATTTATTCTTCTTTGTGCACTGCTCACTTTATTACTAAGATTGACGATCACCGCTGACAATATACCCGTTTTCCGCTACCTTAAAAAGTACCTGCACGCCATATTGAATTAATTGTGCAACATTGAAAAATCAAATTATTATCTAGTTCAATATTCTCAATATTTTACTTTTAAGTTTAGTGTGGATTTATTCTAGTGTTCATTTTCCGATATTTCTTCATGTTGATGTTTAACCAGTACTCATGATAAATGGTACTCAAGTAATTCGATTTAAAAATGTGATCTCTTATAGTTGTTTTCATGTATTTCCTTGTCGCTAATTAAAATATTTAATGCGAATATTTGGAGGAAGTTAAACGTCTCTCCCCCATTCCTCTTTCTTTCTTTGATAACATCCCTCATCAACAATACATACAACCCTAAATTTTCAGCCTTTTATCATCTACGTCTATTTTTTAATAGCCATATTAGTGTCACAGACTTAGTTGCCATCCTCCTCCTAAACGACTTGACCGATTTTTATGACATTTTACTTGTAAATTTGGTAGGTCTGAGAATCGGATGTAATATATGTTCCATATCCAAGTGATAAGGGTGATCCACCAAAAACATTTTTTTTTTGTTTTTTTGGACATTTTTTATTTTTATTTTTCTATGGTGTGGCATTAAACAATACAACTCACTTCACCCTAAAGTTTCACCCTTCTATCACTAACCCCTAATTTTTAATAGCCAGATTAGTAATTTAATCATTTTAACCCTGTTCGATAACTGATCAATTATCACTAGATCAGTTATCCCATAAGGCGCCCACCAGTATCACTTTTCACCCAGTAAACAGCAAGGAGTAGGAATGAAAACAAAGCCGGTGTCCTGTCTCTCTTACACAATAAGCCTTCTCTCACTCCGAAAACTCTACACAGTTTTTGGCCATTTATATTGTTTTGCATGCATCAAGTGTAATAGTTACGTATAGAATTATCATTTTACTTTTTCTGTGTAATTCTCAAGTAGATTTATTATTAATTTGCTGGGCCAAGCTTATACATAATGTTTTTGCGGAAATAGCTCATCAGTTGAAAAACCATGATTGGACAAGCAATATTGGCGGCAAAAAATGCGACCATTCCTATTTTTCTTTATAAATTCAGGAATTTTTCCTAAATTTTCCAACTGGAACATATTCAAATTCTATTTATAAACAATCTTGCAAAGACATTTCCACAAAAATGTAAAGTCCTGCTCACTATAACCGATAACAACCCTAGATCAATACCTGACAAGATGAAACGAGAGGACTTGTTTCTGGACTAAGGTGGTCGTCGATTCAGTCTTGTTAAGAAACTCAACTACCTGCTTTGAGTAGAGATG